TTTAGTAGCTTTTCTTTCTTTATTGCTACTAAGTGTGTGCTAATAAATCTTATTTCCGTAGCATGTTTCGAGTGAAGGAGAGAAAATTGGAGGAGTGGGAAGGAACATAAGAGTGAAAAAGATAAAGTTTATTTTACATTGTTAGTAAAAAAAAAAACAATTAGGCGTGGTGTTACAAGACGTGCCAGAGACGCAAGGTTTCAAAAGGATGGAAGAACTTGACTTCTAATCAAACATGGGGAACCCGGGCTCCCTTATCACAGTTTACCCAGATATGAAAATGCGACGTGAAAAAAATTAATGTAGATACAGGAAAGCAAAGATACATTAATTAAAGAAAGAGGTGACAGACTATGCCGGCTATATAATGAAAAAATAAAGACTAACACAACATAATAAAAAGAAAAATAAAATAAAGTAGCAGATGCAGAGTCTAGAAATTTGATTGATAGTTTGTCGATGCTGATGATGATTGTTGAGAGAGAGCTCCTCTATTTATAGATGATCCTGGCTAGGTGCTCAGGCCTCATAATTGCCTCTTTCCTTGAATTTAGGAAGTACTTTCTCTATCATGATCACTCATTATGGGTGATGGTCTTGACTTAATGGCTAAGGCATCATAAATAATTTTTTTATATAATTATTTTAAAGTCAATTAAGTTGAATTGGGCTTGGGCCTCCAAATTCACAATTTGGGTGCAAATAAGGCGCCCCGCATACAAATTGGTCGGAGTCTTCATAGGCCAATTTTGTATGAATGTTTCCATTGGCCTCATTTACAAGCGTTGCGTGAGTAGTATATCTTGGAGGATTGGCTCATTCCCATTCTGATTGATAGTTGATCTGGTACTTTATTTGAAGGACGTTCTTGTGGTTGAGGATTAGGGACCATGTGATCTAGCTTAAGATCAAATTTCTCAAGGTTTAGGACCTTAAAAGCTAGTTTTAGAATTTAAAGACTGGTTCTGTAAAATCTAGCTACTGTAGGGCCCCTGTAGAGAGAGCCCTTTAGGAGAAAGCTCTCCTGGAAAGGGCCCTTACAAAACTTGCCTTTCTGACTTTAATCCTTATAGTGTCGGCCCTTATGGTTACAGCCCATGTGACTTTAACCCTTGTGGTATTGGCTCCTTTGGTGTTGGCCCTTACAGTTCTAGCCCTAATGGCTTCGGCCCCTATAACTCTGGCCCTTCTGGTGGTGCTTGTAACCTCCTTGAGGTTAAACTATAATTAACTCCAAATCATAGTAATCTAGGGCTTAACCCTTAAAAATTACCAAACTGTAAGGTTTTATAAAAGGAAATTTCTCAACATCTTTTTGAAGGAATCCAAATTTTCATCAATTCAAATCCCAAACATAATTTAAGGACTCCAAGCTAGAGTTTTGAAAATAAAGTGGAAGCTTGAAAATCAATTGGGACCCAAATAATGAGTTTTAAAACTCAAAAACAAATTTTGTGTAGAAAAGGACATGTGCGCCGCGGCTTATGGCTCGTGTATTGTGGCGTGTCTTCTCTGTGCCATGCACCGTGGCGTGAGACGCCATGCTACGGTGCATAGCATGAAATTTGACAAATCAATGTTGTCATTTGATAGCCGGGGAGGCAAACTTTCGATGCATCCTAAATCTCCATCTGATATTCAATTGAGGTGATTTCGGTGTCTGCACGGAGCTTTCTCCTAGCTCTAGCTAATGGCACCATTTTCACATTCAAACTCACTTTCTATAAAAAGTTGGACACCAAAACCCATTTTGATCACTTTTTCACAAAATCTCCCAATGGGTGTCTTAACTCAATCACACATGCCAATAGCTTACACAAATTATCTGACCACACTCAATGGACTCTTGCAGATTCATAAAATACACTATACACAATTAAACACACTTATTTCACAAAATCACTTCTCAACCTTAGTTTTCACAAAACATAAAAAGGGGAGGAATTATTGCACAAACTCAGCCATTTCATTTCAAATTTCATAAAATACATATGTTTCTATTTGCACAAGTATTTTAGCCCTATCCATGGGTTCACAACCAATGTAACACCCTCAAAAATACAAACTGATTTTTCGCAAATTATTAAAACCATTATCATGGTAGAAAATTTTCTTACCATGATACATCCAAGACAATATACCACAGGTCTTAAAATATCTCAAAAAAGCAATTAGAACCATGAGGGACAGTCAGGATCCTCATTGCATGATATTTAAATTAGGTCATGAATCAAGAGAGACAAACATAATCCTCTTGGTCAAATAAATACTTTTAATAAAAAGGATTAGAGTTTACATGCTTCACAAAGAAGATATGTCCTAAGTTGGCACAAGATACATTGTATAATCCAAAATAAGAGGCAACGTAAAAGATGGTGTTTCATACACTATAGTTACACCTCTAGTGCTTTCTCGGCCGGACTCGCTCCTGTAAAAATATTAACCACGGGGAATGAGACTTAAAAGTCCCAGTAACCAAAAATTAATATGTAATGATGCATGCGATTGTAACTAATCATGCGATTGCTAAGTGGGCACACAAAACATTTAACCGAACAATATTTTCAAACAAACCAAACAAGTATTTAATTTGCATGACTACACCTTATATCCTCCTTTCGCCATGCTCGGACGCCAAATCACCCGGCCAAAGGTGAGTTGGACCAAGCGACACGCCACTCATTGGGTCCAATGAGGGCTTACCACGTGGTAATAATTAACCGAACAGAAATTCCCATTAACACCATACATTAAAATACCCTGACAAGTCATGCATCATTCAAATATCCAAACAGGAATATATCCGAACAATAATATCTCATCATGATAAACAAAAATAAATTTTTAACCTACTTGGCAATAATTTCAAACAAGTATATACAGTATTTATTTTCAATAATTCATAATTTTTCCAAACAACAAAACAACACATAACCATTCACAAACACACTCATCACAACACATTAATAATGGTTACCTTGTGTCTTGAATAACACAATCTACATAGTTATTTCATAACACCATATATTAATTTTACATTAAAATAAATAACTCTAATTTAAAGAGTTAGAAAGTCTTAGATCTATAATTCATATTAACACTAATTTAAGATTTATGCCTCATTTAACTTTCCAAATTCTTTTTTTAAAATTCTCGTACCCTAATAAACTATTTTTTTATCCTCAAATCACTTCTAGTATCACAATTTCATCCTTCTATATTCTAAAAATTCATCCAAAAATAAATTAAAAATTTTAAAATTATCCTGAAGCCTCAAATCACCTTTCTATAACCTCAAAAATACCTATTCATACTTAAATAAATATTTAATAATCAGAAGTTCATCCCTACATCTCAAATTCCACATAAATTCAACCATATAGATCTAAATTTTAACTCAAAAATTCTTAAACATGAGTTTCAACCTCAAAAAAGTATTCTATAATATTTATTATATCTCTAAGAGTTTTAACCTATATTTTTAATCCATCATATCATCAGATTAAATATCCTATAGAAAAAATCCTAATCAGAATATTTACTCTATCCTATAAAATAATCATATCACTAGAAAGCTAATATTATTTAGAAAATAACTATAAAATTAATTTTATAATTAAATAAATTTTTAAATGCTAATCTAAACAGGAAAGTTAGAACATACCTGAAGAAAAAGAAAATAATCCCCCCTTGTGAGAAAAACGCCGAGCAATGTGAGAGGAAGAGAGAAAAATAATATAAAAATGGGATTGTGGTCCCAAAATTATATTAAAAAAAACTATAGGTTCGAATTTAATTATTCAAACCTTTGGGCCAAAAGTTGCAATTTCCTCTAAATTGCATCTTAGCCTCTCATGCTTCCTAATGCACACACCCCCTCCTTTTTATACATGAAGGTACCTCTTCTCTTCCCTCATCTAACTAATATGGGACTTAGAAACAACAACCTTCCACTCCCTTTTTTTTTTGTTCCTTCTACCTTCTCTTTTTTTTTAACACACAATAAAAAATTATTTATGTATTATATCTTAACTAAATATTGCTTATGTGGTTTTAAATTTAAAATTTAAAATTCATAATTAAATACCTAACCATAATATTATTTCTAAATAATCTCAAATAATATAAATTCCTATTATTATCATTTTTTCCTCAAAACCTAAATTCCACAATTTCTTTATTATATAAAAATCAGGATGTTACAACCAAAACTCACTAACCGAGGGCACAAAATACACTAGTTATACATAAAATCATGCAAGTAGTGTATAAATCATGTCAACCAGTCCTAGTTAGCGATTACATTAACAAATACACATGAAAACAATTAAAGAGAGGCATATAGAGGATTTACTCCACAAATCCTAAGCCTCTGTATGCTTTTCCCAACTCGGATCTGATGAGCTAGTTCTTGAAAATCTTGAGAATTTAGGGGTGAGTACAACCACTCAGTAACTAAGGTTAACTTAACCTATATAGTTGCATATTATTTGAAAATAGATGCAATTAGGCAAACAAACACATATTTCACATAGCACTAGGCCACGGTTCACAAAACTAACAACCATGTAACCGAACTTGCCACAAAACACTATATCATGATATTTTGCAAACAACATAACTCAAGGTTACAAAAATAATAACCATGCACCCTCAACACATATCGAACCATAAAACTAACAACCATGTGACCATACTTATGTGCATGATCAGATGCCAACCTTATATCCTCCTGTTACATCTGACATGAAACTGGTGGCTATCACGTGGCTATGTCCTTCATGGACTAACCCAGCCTTCTACTTGTGAGAAGCTACTAGGCTAAGGTTAACTCACTCACTTATATAATCCAGTTTCTCCCAATACTAACAACCATGAGGTGTCGTACCCCTATATAGCTTCCTTATGAACTGATGGAGACTAGTTAGGTTTGATTCCCTCATAGAACAAGTGAGACAGTCCCGAAACAATCATGGGACAAGGACTACCTCCTGATTCCAATGGTCAGTGCTAAGGCTAGTTCTCAATTCCAAAGGTTAATACCAATACCATATGGATTTTAATCAATTTACTCCTCTTCTTAGGTGAGCTCCCGCCAATGATTATGCTATGCACATGTTTCACATAATATGCATTTTGACAATTGATTCATAACACATAAACTCATATAACTTAATACTCCATGATTTAATGCATAATATAACACAATTCTCCACCTATAGTAATAAATCACAATCAGTTCTGTAAAACATCAAGGGTAGTAGAATCAAGGCTTTCTTTCCTAAAAACCATTCCATAAATCAAGCACTTGCCAACATGCATCATCAAATTAACTCACAAATTAAATTTCACAAACATAATTAACATTCAACTATAAAAATTAAGTTTCCCCCAATTACCTCAAATCTTTAAGAGATCAAAGGTTTACCCCTCACTACACTAACTTTTCAAAGCTTTAACAAGCTCGAATGGTGCCAAAATGAACCTTTATACATCCAAACCACAAGAACATCATCATTACCTAACTCTTGAAACTTATCAACATAAAATTCCACACACTCTATTTTATCAACTCTTAATCAGTACCCATTCATACCTAGTGGGCTCATTAGATTCTATTAATGCACATTAAACTCTCCTAACTACCTCATAAATATTAATTTTTGAATAATAAATGCTCCCATAGACTAACCACTTCTAAAATCATCAATGTGGTGTTTTAATACATTAAACAACTCCTATTATACTCATTTTAACCAATGGAATCAAACCCATACTCCTATGGATCGAAAATCCATCTCCTAACTTAAACCCTACCATACATCATAACAAATGAGAGAGGAAAAGGAAGAAGAAGGCACCACAATCTTACCTTTGGTCTTTGGGAGCTTTAATTTATCAACAATGAGACCAAATGTCATGCCCTAACAGAGCTAAAATCGAGCTCTTCATTTTCTTCCTCTTTTTCTCTTTTGTTTTCATGTAGCTCATGAACTAATTTATCTGATTTTTGGCCATGCGCCACGACAGACCAACCATGCACCACGGCGTGTGGCACAGAAAATAATTCTTCTCTTTTTCATCCTCATTCCTTGCTCAAGTGGCCTACCTTTGATCCGAACCCACTTCTAGAGCTGAAATCACATCAATTATGCCAAGCTAAGCCCCTTTGACCACACACCTCATTAACTCACTAATTACCCTCATTAGGTTAATAAACCAGTGTTAAAATTTTTCAGATGTTACAGTGTTAGCCCTAATGACTTTAGGCCCTGTGGCTCTGGCCCCTCTAATATTGGCCCTAATGGCTTTGGCATCGATGGTGCTAGCCCCAATGGCTTTGGCCTCGATGACTTCAGTCGCTCTAGTAGTGCTGGCCCCAATGATTCTAACCCTTGTGGCTCCAGCCCTTTTGGTGCTGACCTTAATAGTTTTGGCCCTAATGGTGCTGGCCCCAATGGCTTTGGCTATTGTGGCTTCGACCTCAATGGCTTTGGCCCTTGTGGCTTCGACCTCAATGGCTTTAGCCCTTGTGGCTTTGACCCCTATGGCTTCGGCCTCTCAAGTGCTGGCACCAATGGCTTTAGTTCTAATAGTGCTGGCCCCAATGACTTCGGTCCTTATGGCTCCAGTCCTTTTAGTACTTACCCTAATGGCTCTGGCCCTTATGGCTCCGGTCCCTCTAGTACTAGCCCCAATGGCTCCGGCCACTCTGGTGGTGCTAGCTTCAATGGTACTGGCCCCAATGACTTTGACTCTTATGGCTCAGGCCCCTCTATTGTTAGCTCCTATGGCTTTAGCCCCGATAGTGCTAGCCCCAATGACTTTAGCCCTTGTGGCTTTAACCTCAATAGCTTTGACCCTTGTGGCTGTGGCCTTTCTAGTGCTAGCCCCAATGGCTTTGGGCCCGATGGTTCTAGCCCTAATGACTTCAGCCCTTATGGCTTTGGCCCTAATGGCTTTGGCCGTTGTGGCTTCAGCCCCTATGGCTTCGGCCTTTAAGAACAGCGTGAAATCAAAGATCCTATATCCTCAAGGGTACGGGTTATCCCTATTTATGTATTTTGGATATGGCTTCGAGAAGGTAGGGTGGCTAATTGGCTTCAACTTTAGTCCATTTATATCCTAGATGGTGTCCTTCAGGGCCTCGATATTCACTAGTTAGTTTCGAGGTTTGTTCTAATGCTCTGGGATCATTACTGTGCCCTTTGGGCTAGTCGTGTCTGGCTCATGTAAATAATACAAAGAATTACTTAAAGAATTAGTGTGAGCAAATATTTAGGGGGTTAGGAATGTCTTTTACAAATGGGCGACCTTGAGGGCCAATGTCTATATTGATTCTTGCTTGATGTCCTCCAAGTGGCCCTAAACTTGAATCTACTTTTAGAGGAGTGCTTCTCAATGATGCAGCTATGTTCTTCATGCCATCATGCAGAGTCTACATCATGATCTACTGTCGTTCCTTCTCCTTGTGTTCTGACATTTCTAGGGATAGTAGAAAGAACCTTTGGTTCTCTTCCAGTTGCTTATCCATCTAGTCTTGAATCCCTCGCAACACTTCTGTCACAAGACCATTAGATATGATTAGTGGGTTAGCTTGTCCACTTCCTAGCTTTGAGCCAGGGCTTGTACTGCTGCTACCTATTGACATCGGCACTATGTGCTCACGATATTCAGCCGCTTTAGCATCAGGCATTAAGTGTTCTGACCTTACGTGTGCCGAGGTCCCTTCTAGTTCATGAGAACTAGCACCTATTTCATTAGTCCTTTTGTCTTTTCGCGTCCTTGCCATTTTCATTACATAGGTCCCACTAGGCATGCCAACAATTATTCGTAAAAGAAAAACAATCAAGCGTGGTGTCGCGAGGCATGCTAGAGACACAGAGTCTCAAAAGGATGGAAGAACTTGACTTCTAATCAAATGTAGGGACCCGGGCTCCCTTACCACTATTCACCCAGATGTAAGAATGCGAAGTGAAGAAAATTAATGTAGATGCAGGAAAACAAAGATACATTAATTAAAGAAAGATGTGATGAACTATGCCGACTGTACAATAAAAAAAATAAAGACTAAAACTACATGATAAAAAGAAAAATAAAATAAAGCAGCAGATGTGGAGTTTGGAAATTTGACTTATAGTTTGTCGATGCTAGTAATGACTGTTGAGAGAGAGCTCCTCTATTTGTAGATGATTTTGGCTTGGTGCCCAAGCCCCATGATCGCCACTTTCCTTGAATTTAGGAAGTATTTCCTCCATCATGATCACTCATCATAGGTGATGATTTTAATTTAATGGTTAAGGCTTCATAAATATTATTTTTTTATATAATTATTTTAAAGCCAATTAAGTTAAGTTAGGCCTGAGCCTCCAAATTCACAATTTAGGTATAAACATGCATATATTGGAAAAATATCTGTGTTGTTTCTATGTAGTTGATTTAATTACAACTCAATCTTAAAGTTTAACTAGTTTGCTCAATCTCTCAAATTTCAACCATTTAATTAGTTGGTCCTTATAATTTCAAAAAATATTTAGTGTTTCATAAACCAAGTTGTAAGTGTAGCTGGTGACAAATAAAAAAGATTAAAGAGCTAAAACTTAAGGATTGGGTTGCTCAAGTTATTGTAATAATTAATTTGAAATAATTAAAAATTACCTTGACCAAATATTTAATTAAATTTTCTTATATTTTTAATTCATCTAAAAATCATATTATTTTTATTAAAATGTATTCCCATGGGATAAAATAAAAGAAATACAGAGCGTGAATATATATAGATATATAATTGAAACAAAAAGGTACATTTTTTTCCTTAATTTTTTCATTTTCTTTTACTTAAAAACCTTGGAGGCAGGCTTAAGCCCTGCTTTTATGAGTTTATGATCATACGTCGTCGTGATTACTGACGCAAGCATTTAGTTTTTCAAAGGGGAGAAAAATCAACAGAGTCGTCTCAAGGGAAGTGGAGAAGCCTTTATATATATAAAAACTTCCTTACTTCCTTTCACATATCAACCGGCCAATTTTAACGGTTGTCTTGACCGGATTGATAAACGATTTTTTTTTTTTTACCTTCAACGAAATTTATTTATTTAATCTCTTATAAAATGTGTAAATCTTACCTGATATTATTTAACCATTTCTATTAACTAAATTCTTAGCATGTAATCAGGTGCGTATACACTATTCTTCATTTTTCTTTTTTTTTTTTCATTTATTCAGTGGTTCACTATATATACACAACAAACAGTTTCTAAGGATTATTAATTAAATACTGATTGTGGTAAAAATGTAAAGGAGCGGTGTGTACAGAAGGTTGGCTTCACCACAAGTAATCACTCCATTTACAATGCAAATCAAAGTATATGTAAAATAAATTCAAAATGAGTTGTTATGTAAGAAAATAATTGTTAAGTTTTCATAGGATGACATTAATTTTCAAGTTCAATATATTATTGGTCATTACGTTGTTAAAAAACATTGAAAGTACACCGATTTTGAATTCTGAATACATGTTATATTAAACTGTGTCAGAAATATAATCCTGGTCCCACCAGAATATAATGTTATAAATATAATCAACAAAAATGTTAAAAAAATGTAATCTTTTGCCATTAAAAATTAATATAGCCATGAAATATTCTACAAGCAACTCAAAAGTCGGAGCCAAGATAAAGTTTTGGTTGGCGAAGAAAGTCAAAAACATATCTGAATAATGATATGTTGTGGTAAAAATTGGAAAAAACTAGTTGGGTGAGGGAGAAATATTATGGTGGTTGTTCAAAATTCAATCACTTACGCTTCTAGACGTTTTATTAATTTTCAAATTTCTTTCATGTGATTGCTATTTTGAAGTTTCATTATAATTTGCTAGAGACAATTTAATTTCTCTTTTATTATTTTGATGTCAACACGGCGATGCTGTTGAATTATCCTTAATTAATTAATTAATCATTTTGTTCACAAGCTTATCCCGATTCTTGGTTTACTACACCAATGGACGTTCTAACAGGAATTCAGGATCTAAACAGAAAGAGAAAGAAAGAAAGAAAGAAGGAAAATACCATTCAAGAATCGTTGAGAAAATTTAGTAACAAATAAGAATCAAAAGATTTTAAAATAGTACTACAGAATTAGAGAATGAATTTAAAAATAATTTTTATGAGAAAAGACTATAATAAATACAAATAGGTTCTTGTTAATTAGTTAACAAATAACTACTTGTTGAAACCTAATTTATACTTGTCTCTTCCTACAATAAATTTTTTTTCATATTCTTAAATTTGTCAATTAACAAATGACTTCTTGTGAAATTTGAATCCGTACTTGTTAATTGACAAATGATTACTTGTTAAAGCATGATGTGTCTTTGTTCCTTCATACAACCAAACTCTTTTATATTTTTGAACTTGTCAATTAACAAATGGCCTCTTGTTAATACTTATTAATTAACAAATAATTACTTATTGAAACATGATCTATAATTGTCCTTTCTTACAACCAAGGCCTTTTAAATTTATTTGTCAATTAACGAATGACTGTTTGTTAAATACAAATGAATAATCATTAATTAACAAATGACTTCTTGTTAATTAAAAAATAATAGCACAGGTATTATAGTTTTTTCTTATATAAAATTATTTTCAAATTAGTCTCCTTTGTCATGCAGTGGTATTTTAGAATTTTTGATTCTTATTTGATATTAAATTATCTAAGTGGTTCTTGAATGATATTTTCCCAGGAAAATTTTTGGTGAGGTTCACATGGACCCCACAAACCTTTGTTTTAGTGCTTAAAGACATAAATAAATAACAACTTATTTATATAAAATTAGAAGTAACTTATTTTATTCTACAATAAATTATTTTAAAATTTTTTATTTTATTTATATTAAAAATATAAATAGTAATTTGTTCTATTTTAAAATTTACAACCTCTTACCTTGTTGATGGATTATATACAAGTATCTCTAAGCAACCTTTAATGTTAGAGACATATTTTAGTTCTAATGAGTTCTCGAAACTTAATTTATCTAAATTTTTTTGTTTATAAAAAAAAAGAACAAATAACATGTTTCATTTTAATTTTTTTATCCATCTACACCTTAAAAATAAAAATAACAAATCATTTTTACTAGATAAAAAGATTTCCATTTTAAAATTTGTTGTCACGTGTGCATGTTAAAATTTGTAATATAGTCAATTTGAATCGATGGACTGAAGATCTTTCAGAGCAATTGGAGCAAAGAATGAAGTAAAATAATACTTAGACAAATTAGGATAATTACCTTCAAGGAGGTTGTGTAGTACATGGAAGCTCTAGATTAGAATTTGGTGTGGACAAATACACTGGTTGAGAGAGAGAGAGAAAGAGAGAGAGAGTGCAAGTCACTCTAAACATGGCAAGACAAAACACTTGCTGGGCATTGTCTATATAAATTGCTTGTAATAAAAATATAATAACCAAAATGTCCCAATCAATTTAAATAGGATCATTGATAATATCTGCTATATCTGTGAGCCTCTTCCACTATATATCTAAATTGAATTTTCTAGCATATTTTGGTTTATTCAATTAGATTCATTCCATTTCAAAAATACACTATTACAAAATTAAATTTTAATGATATATTTTTTGTCACAATTCATAAACAAACTGTGGTAGTAGTATATTTATTGGCACTTTGATAAATAAAATGAAAAATAGATCATTTACCACGGAAGTTATTAACAAAACTATTGCCAAAAAATATATAAAATAAAATAAAAAATTAATTAATTCTATAAATTAGTAATTATATTCTTAATTATTTTCTATTAATTGAGTAATATTTAATATATATGAATTACGTCTGAAATAAAAAAATTTAAATTAATTTGATTTGAAAAGTTATATTATTTTATGAAAATAATTTATTAATTAACAAATATAAATTCAGCATATTCAATTTAAATTTAAATTAATTAGTAATTCAAATCCCAAAGTTTAATAACCTTAAA